CGCAGCCTCGCTATTTAGGGGGCAGTAGTCATTGCTCCCCATTGGCTCTCCATGGGTGGCCGTGCGCGCTCTTTGCCCCTGGCCAGACGTGACCTCAGCGATCTAGCGTGCGCATAACGCCTTGGACTCCTTGCGTGGTTTCTGCAGTTGAAGGTCGCGTGACTTGGCCCGTTCTGTATACACCGGACTGGCCTGTTGTGTCCTTTGTTCGCGCGCCTTTGTCCGGTGTGACCTCAGGGTGTCTGTCTGTCTGGAGGACAAGGGTGGTGGCTCACGTTTTCGGTCATCCTAACAGGCATTATTTGTTGTAACCTTTACAGAAATTGAAAAAAAGTGGGGTCTGAGGGAATCTTATTCGGGCAAGCATGGCACTATTACGTAAATTTTAGGTCGTATTCTATGTACTACATCGACTGTTTATTACCTTTATTTGGACGCTCATACCGTATATTAATTTGTTTTTTTATCAGCACTAAAGGTCAACGAGGATATGAACTATAATATGACGCAAAACTTTTTTACGCAACTACTACTGATTTGCAGCTCATTTATTTTTCTCCCATGTACCTGCTGCATTAGACAACCGTGTCACATGAATTGGTAGCTGTTATGTAGATTCTTTAATTTTTCCCATCGTGAACCCAAGAGAAGAAAACTACATGTTTAAATTCTCGGTGGGTTAAGCATGCCAAACGTTTTTTTTCTGTAGGAAACAAAAGTTTAAAAAGTTACCTTGCAAGAACTTAACGGCACAGGTTGATAAGTCTACTTTCAAAGACAATCCTGAATACTACTGTACAGATTCTGCATTGGTAAAGGGATGATACAGGATATTGCTATCACTAACAGACAGCTTTATTCTAACGGCCTCCGACAAACATAAATCAAGCCCGAGAAGGCTATCTCTTAGACGTCCACATTTAAAAATATCACACTGTCTCCTTCATTGTCCCTAGGCATCCCACTCACCACCAATGAAGGCTAGGAGTGACTCTCGGGCCCTGTCTGGTCACTCTGACTCCACTTCCCTCCACCCGACTGTCTCCTCGGTTGAACATGAGCTACGAAGTATCCACAAGCATTCCATCCGAAAACTACGATCAAAGAAGAGTCATCACCGGTCTCACTCTCGTTCTCGCTCTTCTTCCTCATCCTCCACTTCCTCCCGCAAAGAGGAACTTCGCGCCCTGCGCGACTCCGTCAGAGCTCTCCGTGCTAACCCGCACTTACAGAACCTGTCGGAACCAATTCACCCACTAGAAGATTTCATCTCCTCTCCGAAGAAGTTACTTTCTGAGGCCTGGTATGCTGTTGGCTTAGATGAACTGCTCAACCTCGTCCCACTGTCTCTCCTTGACTCCTGTCGACGGCGAGAGCGCAAACATCCGCCTCGCAGCAGTTGTCTCCCTTCTAACTGGCCGCCTTTTCCAACTCACGAGTGTTCGC